AAACAAAGCACGACACATTTACAGATCGAATTCAATTCGCTAAAACAAAAGCCGAATGAAACTGCGCACGCTTTCGGACAACGCGTTGATTTACTAGCGATGAAATTAAACGATTCGATGATCGAAGGAAAAGAGCATTCCGCAACCTGAAAACGCACGATTCAACAAACAATCCAAGAGCAGGCGTTAATAAATTACCAGATCGGAGAAAAACCATCGCAAATAAACGCGATAAGTAAATACTGCTCGCATTGCAAAAGGACAGGACACAGCCGCGACGAATGCTGGCGTCTAAACGGAAAACCGAAAAGTAGTATAGATATACTAAAAATCGGAAATCAGCAAAAAACGCGCGAAGAAAACACACGCGACCGCAAGAAATCACGACAACAGAAAAGGAACGCCAATAGCGCAAGTAGCAGCAGCGAAGACGAGCAGGAGGAAGCGAGAAAGAGACCACCGCGACCTGCATCCGAGTATCGCGTTACGCATATTAAAGATATGCCACGCGCACAGAAAAAGACGGACTTATTGTTAATAACATTACCAATGTGACAAGCAAAAGACGGAAAAATACAGATGTTGTACGACTCAGGGTCGACCATCTCATTAACAAAATTGAAACATTTAAAGGACGACACACTAATACATGAAGGTAAAATCGCGCTCACAGGCATAACCGGGCATAAAGTACACACCATAGGAAAAATGTACGCCACGATTAAAATAGAAAATCACAAAATAAATCATGCATTTTACGTTGTAAGAGACGACATTCCAATAGAATATGAAGGAATAATAGGAATTGATTTCCTTCAACAACATTCGGTATCCTGTGATTATAACCAAAATCAATTAAAAATAGAAGACGCCGTGCTAAGATTCCATACGTTTAACAAAACAATCCTAAAACCGCGCAGCGAAACCATCGTAAAAGCGATAACGAAGCAAAATCGGATAGGAATAGTACGAGCAGAGGAAACAGCACCAGGAATCTACCTTGGAAACTGCTTAGTAGAACCGAAGAATTACACGTGTCCCGTTAGTATCATAAATACAACCGATACGGAAGTCGAGATACAGACGCCGAACGTCACCCTCGAAGACATAGAACGCGAAATCAAATCCAAAATAAATACGATACAAGCAAGAAAAAATTTTAAGCCTACTAATTCGAGACACGAACAAATCTGACAACTATTACGCACGCAACATTTAAATACGGAAGAAAAAC